ATGAGGAATGACTTGGGAAGATCTGAGGAGTAAGGGGGCTGTGAAGTTTCTTTAATTATTAGTGAGTAGCTAGGATGAACAGACTTATCTCAGTGAGTGGATAGGTAGAACCAGGTAATCCTTTTAGTAAATCCTTTTTTTTTTTTCTTTTTGTCTTTTTTACTGACCGGTAACAGGATCGCAACCCTTGGTGTCGCGCCTGCACCGCACTCAGCCAGTGAGCAGGAACCGGTCTCCACATGGGATCTGAACCCTCGGCGGGAGCGCCGCCGCACTCCCAAGTGGCGGGCCGGCCCCTTTTGTTATTTTAAAACACATAAAAGATTAGTTTATGGAATTCAAGAAGCAGTAAGGGTGGGAAACGTTAATAATGGTATAGAAAAATAAGATGATCGGTACGATGTATTATTTAAAGAGAGCTAGAATTGTATAGATCATTAAAGTTTGAGTCAGATTTGCCCTGAAAGTTGGATTTAATCATTTATTGGCCATGTGATCTCAGGCATATGCCTACATTTTCTGAAATTTTCTCATTTATAAATTGGGGATAATATTACCTGTTTTGTAGTATTAAGATGAAGAATTTATGTTGAATCTAGTAGATGCTGGGTGCCCAGTAACTATTAGGTATTATTTATTATCTCTTACCTTTTTAGGGTAACATTGTGAAATCAGCAATAGTGATTTCCCACAGAGGTAGTATTAGAACCGACTGGTTATCTACCTGTTGATCCAGAATTTCTTTGTCCTTTTATTTCAAAATATACATAGCTGTACATAAGTTAGATAAGTTTTCTTAGTCTCATTTGAGTTATCTATTTGTTATAATAGATAATAGTAGATAAAATTACTAATATTTTATAGCATTTACTGTGTGTGTGGTAGGTTTTATGCTAACTGCCCAAAACACTTAGAATGCATTAACTCTGTTGATCCTCACAGCAACCCTCTGAGGTAGGAACCGTAATTATCCACATTTTATAGATTCCTGAAGGTCGTAGAGCAAGTAAAGGGGAAGCCAGGAATTGAGCCCAGCCAGTCTTGTTCTTTCACTTGTTCTTGGCACTTTTAGTATGATGTTCTGTTGCTAAGCTTAAAGAGAGAGATTTGCCATTTAAAATGATTCTTAATAGAGGTTTTCTTTCTGCACAGGTGTAGAATTGGAAAATGGTACCTGCAGTCATCCTTTAATTCCTGATAAAGTCTCTCCTCTTTTACCTGCAAGTCATGTGACCATGTCAAAGGGAACAGGATTGGTTCACACAGCCCCAGCTCATGGTATGGAAGATTACAGTGTAGCGTCTCAACACAACCTGCCTGTGGTACTATTCCTCTTTTTTTCCTTTTTAATTACTCATCTGGTAGCACAAAAGGGATAAATCCTAAGTCTTTATTTTTTGATAATAATCATTTTTCTCATCATAATTAAATTGTAAAATGCTTAGGTTTATGTAATATTTAAAGCTGCATTAATATATTCTATCACACTTATTGAGAGAGATTTCCCAGAATTAGCACAAAATCAGCACAAAATTAACATTAAAGAATATATATTATGGGCCGGCCCGGTGGCGCACTGGATAGTGCGCTGCTTGGGAAGCGCGGCAGCGCTCCCGCCCGAGGGTTCGGATCC